CGGGGAAACGGGCCCAAGCGGTGGCCACCGAGGGCGGAGGCGCCAGGCGGTCTGGCCAGCGGCGGCGGGACCCCGGCGCTGTTGCCAGGGGCCGTTTGCGGGAGCCCCCTCGTTTTCTTGGGGCACAGCCGGCGTCTTTGTTTCGCCGCGTGTAGGGTCTGGCCGTCTCCTACAAGCTCCCGGCCAGCCCTGTCACCCTCCCGGCCAGCCCTGTCACCCTCCCGGCCAGCCCTGTCACCGGGCCCTGCCGCAGCGCTGCTCGGGCGGCTGCAGTCTAGTTTGTTGTTTCGGAGCGCTGGCAGGCGGCTCGCACGTCGTGGGAGGCTGGATTTGCTTTTAGGACCCTCGCAGGTGCAGGTGCATATTTGCCGTGACCTGCCGCCTCCCCGCCCCCCCCAGGCTTTCATTTTGCATTTGGAAGTTCTGGAGTTCTGCCAGGACATTTTCCCTTCTCTTTTCTTACACTGTCTTACTTGCACTCTCAGCATGCTGCTTTGAAGTCTTATTAAAGCGCTCAGTGCTTTGCGATCCATCTAATGCCAACACTGTTGGGTAGTTTTCAGATGTTTCAAGATGAAGGCCTCCTAGAATATTAATATTATTCACGCCTAGTTACCGTGTTGGTTATTTTGCGTTTATAGAGTGGCGCTTAGACCACGTGAATCCATGGCGGTAGTTTGCCCAATGCCAAGGCTGTGCTGTGGCTGGGCCCTGGCAACAGGCGCATGCAGGGAGGCGATGTGAAGCACAGTTGTGGCCCAAGAGCAGCACCTCGTGGTCACTGACCCTTTGCCTGATGATGGAAAGTGGTTACTTGAAATTAAATAGGGAGAGTTAGGAACTTCCAAGTATAACTTTTACAACCCCATGCCTGGAAGTCACAATTACTAATTTACTTCAGAAAACGAGAAATCGCAGGTTGTGCACACGTCAACTTGCCTTCCTAGTATCGTTATCAGTTCTGACCTGTGCATCTCTGCGATGCTTCTGAAAGGTGGATGCAGGCTCAGCGCTAGCAGTGGACTGATGTGGTACCAAACTTGGTTTGATTCTTCTCTGCACCCACTTCCTCTACCCACTCCTTCCGTGCCACCATCCTCTCCCTCCTGCTCTGGATCCTGGTGGGGACTCTTCCATAGCCAGAATGTCCACAATACTTCAGGAGTCAGTGACATTTGAAGATGTAGCTGTCGCCTTCACCCAGGAAGAGTGGGTCCTGCTGGACATGTGGCAGAGAAAGCTGTTCAGAGAGGTGATGCTGGAAAATATCAGTCATCTGGTCTCCATGGGTAAGTGTCGACAAGTGTCGGTGAATGCAGGCAGGAAGGCAGCCATCCATCCGTCACCCACCCACCCACCCACCCACCCATCCATCCGTCCATCCATCCACCCACCCATCCATCCATCCATCCATCAGGTCTCTAAAACAGCTTCCCAAGATCCCACTGGTCTTTGCTGATTCTCTCGGGGACTTCATAAGGACATGAAGGAAAGTCATTTGTTGTACTGACATATAGGTTGTCACCCCGCTAGAATGTAATTTGACCCCTATTTAATGTCTTGTTACTTAATGTCTAACATTCAGCAGAAATCAGTGATGTGTTTTAATAAATGAGAAAACTGACTAAACGAAACGTTTTCTAAATAATTACTCTGCTAAGGCTTGACTAGTGAAAAATAAGCTGACCTTGATTCTCCTTCTGAAGCTGATGCTTGTCAGCTGTTTGTCTTCTGTTTTAAAACACTACTCAAGTCATCAACACATTCAGTCTCAGCGCTTTTGCAGAGGCAGGCTTCGCTTTCTGTCTTTGTATACTTGGGCACTGACATCAGCATCCGAGGTGGCCATGTTTTGGATACGACTCGCCTCTTTCAGTCTGTTGGAGGACCATCATTGTTTTCTCTGTTCCAGTTGTTCCTCTCTGGGCTGAAAGTCAGTGTTCTCTTTATTTTAAGAAGCCTGTCCTGGCCTTGGTCATCATGCGTGGAAGCATAGAACTCAAAGCCTATCAATATTTACTTACTTTCCCCATGAACAGGGTATCAGCATTCCAAATCAGATATAAATTTCCAGTTGGAGCAAGAAGCCCTGTGGGGTGAAGGAAGAGGGTTTCTCCAAGACCAGAGTGCAGGTAAGCACAGAGCTCTCTGTATGTCCGCAGTAGCCAGACTGGAGGCTAATAACTGTGTATGTCCTTAGCAGAATCAGCAGAAGACTTTTTGAGGGATATTTTCTGAAGAGTATGCGAAGTACACTGGGGAAAAGTTCTTTGGGTGTTGTTAGCCCTTGCATTTTTAGTTACATTTCTTTGGCTTTAGGGAAAAGGGCATTCATGTATTAATTGAAGTTAAATTTTCACAAAATAACTCTTCTCCTGATCCTCCCCAGTCCCTTGGAAGACTTTCCCTATCCTTACCAACCCAATATCTCATCCCCATTTTAGTCTTTTTATATTTCAACTATGAATATCTCTGTCAATACCTTAATGTGTTTCTACTTCCTAGAGAACTTCATCTTTGTATTCTTTGCCTCTTTGAAGTGCTAATTGTCAAACATACACAGGTCTTGTGCTTTGCGATGTCTTCATTCTCCTAAGGCCGTTCTAAATATTCATTTTAGACAGGGAAAGCACTCCTCGAGAACAAGTGATAGCCCCACATCACATCAGCAGGAAGGACACATCTGCAGTCAAGGCAATGGTAGGTTTCATGGTCATTCAGATGAAAGACTTGGCAGTAATATGTTAATAAATGAACTTATTATCCTCGCGGGCATTAAGTTGAGCTTTAGCTCAGCAAAAAGTTTTTTTTTTTTTTCTCAGCAAAAAGTTTTACATAGTTTGAGTTTAGTGAAAATATTAACCAGGTCAAAATTATAACCTGCAGTGTTAAAAAAATGGATAGCTGCATATTGTTCGTATGCCTAGTCTTTGAAACATATTTAGGCCTTCAAAATCAGTCTGTAAGCTGCAGCTGAAATGCTGCAAACATGTGTATGCAGAGGAAAGCGCAACACGTGTATGCAAGTAACAGTGGAAAGGTTTTCATTAAGAGTATCACTGAATATATAATGTAGGAATATATGTGGAAACCACTAGTAACCTTTCTCCTTCCCAAAAGCAGGGGTCTCACACTTCAGAGAATCCTGCTGAATGTAATGAAACAGGAGATGATTTCCCTTATACCTCCACATTGAGTGAACACTTACCAACTTACACGGAAGAGAACCCCTGTGTCAGCAGGCAGTGCCAGAAACCCCTCAGTGGCCAGCCATACCCTAATCAGCATAAGCAGATTCACAGTAAAGGTAAAGCATGTGAGTGCCAACTGTGTGGGAAAGCCTTCAGTAACTGTTCTAGTCTGAGACGGCATGAGATGACTCACACTGGAGAGAAACCTTATGAATGCCATATCTGTGGGAATGCCTTTATTCAAAGTTCAGACCTTAGAAAGCATAGTCTGACTCACACTGGAGAGAAACCGTATGAATGTCACCTATGTGGGAAAGCCTTCAGTCAGTCCTCTAACCTTAGACAGCATGAACGAACGCACACTGGAGAACAACCATATGGATGTCATCTATGTGGGAAAACCTTCAGCAAATGTTCTGCTCTTAGACGACATGAGAGAACTCATACCGGAGAGAAACCATATGAATGCCATCAATGTGGGAAATCCTTCAGTCAGTGTTCTGCCCTTAGACGACATGAGGGAATCCACAATGGAGAGAAAGTAGTGCTTGCTTTTAGTGAATATTCTCACCTGAGATGACATATAATGAACATTCATTATGTTTAAGAGACTTCAACCATGGCTTTAATGTGTAACATCCCAGAAGACTCTTACATTGAAGAAATACTGTAATTGATGCAGAAGATCCTATAATCATTCTTACTTGACTTATGCACATTTGTGTAGAAGTGACTGTGTATGACATCAAAACCTTCAGTCGTTGGTGTGACTGAGAGAACTCATACTGTAGATACAGAGAATGAGGTTGTCTTCAGCAACAGCCATGAGTTTGCAACACACCTGAGGATTTATATAGGCGAGACCTCCTACATGTGTAATCAGTGTGGTTAGTAGCCAGCCAAGCACCAACCCTGGTATGCACAAGAAAACTCGGTAAAGGAGTAACTGCTGACACAGAATGCGAGAGAGGAATGTGCTTGAGGAATATCAAACAATTCATACAGACATGATTCTGTTAAAAGTCAGTAAAACTCTTTACTCACAAAGCAACTCTGTGGCACATCTGAGGATTCAGATTGTACAAACTCCAGTGTAGTGAGTGAAGAAAATTCTCAAACCAACGTGACAGTAGTCCAAAAATCAAAGTGAAGACTTCAGCTAGCGTTCGAATCAGATAACTACATCTAGGAGAAAAATACTCTAGAAAAGCCTTTTAAAATATGTTAGAAATAAGAATCATGAGGAAATAATTTCACAGGGAAAGGGTGACATCTCCAAGATAGAAAGTGATCTGGGAAGACTGAATTTATCCTGGGAGTATGCCAAATTTTGTAAGAAATTAAATGTTTTCAATAGATTTGTAAAGATTTGATTAAACCATGTTGCTAAGAAAAAAAAAAATCTAGTGTGTTGGTGAAGTTCTGGCTTTTGTTATACAGCTGTGAGCATCTGTGTGGGTCGGCGCTCCTTGGCATGTGGGTGGCATTTTAGCTGAGCTCTAAGTATTTCCCAGCAGCTCCTTCCCCGCAGCTCGTCCTTGCTCATTCTTCCTTCAGCACTCTCCATCCATTGCCTGCTGGTGAGCCAAGAAACCTGGCACCCAGTGCCAGGTTTCATAAGTGTGCTGTGGCCCTGGTTTTGCAAGGTCACGGGGCAGTGCCAAAGGCATTAATGCTCACCACTATGGAGGCACCATACACGTCTCTGTTGGAGCTGTTGCTGTAGGCCAGAGATGCAGGTAGCTCAGCACTCCGAGCCCACAGAACACTCCTTGAATTTTTTTCCATGAAGCCTCTGAGTTGGACTAAGTGGGGCAGGAGTTTGTTATCCCATACCGCAGCCAGCATCTTCACTGGGTGAGTCCTGAGGTGCACACCCAGTCATCGCCCAGCCAGTGCTGTTATCCTTCCAAAGCGGCTCTGCAAAGAGAAGTCCAGCAAGAAAACACCCTACCTGCCAGCGGCCATGCAAGTGAAAGTTCTCATGAGGGAGGTGTCTACTGCTTTGTTTCCAGGAATTGCTAATGTATTTCCTTTGAACCAACCTAAAAACAACTCAAACCTCACAGGAAATACTGTCAAGAGACAGCCAGCTGGTTTGTACTCTTCCCAACTGCCACAGTCCCCGGATCATAACTCAGGGCCACCTAGGTACCCCCGGAGATACTACTGTGGAGGGCAGAAACGGTCATATGAGGACGATGAGGTATAATTCAGCGCTGTGGTGTCCTGGCTTGAGAGGCAGAGGGTAAGGAGGCAGGGACAGACAACAGGGCTTGAGGGAACAAGTTAGCAGTTAGACCCTGGAGACAGACCTCATGGCCTCCGATTTCCACTGTCACAGCCATGAGATCTTGTTACTGAACCTTTTTGGAAAGACGGCAGACAGAAAGGCGGGAGCAAGTGAACTTTAATGCTCACAGACAGCAGCAGAGATGGAGCTCCCAAGGGGGTCTGCAGCTGCTGCAGCCCTGTAGGGGAGGGTCTCATTTAGATTGCAAGTTCAGATTCTAAAGGGGTGACTCATCGCTGTGCCCCTTGATGTGAGGCCCAGTTCGTTATCGCCCTCATCCAGTTCCATCCCGGATGCAAGGCCCAGTTTATTATTGCCCTTATCTAGTCCCACCAGCAATGTGTTATCACCGCATCTGGTCACCCCCAACACTTTTTTTGTGACTCAACTCTATGATAGAAAGAGCTCGGTGCTTTTATCTTAAAGAGTTGTTAGGGCTAGTGAGTTACACTGTAGACACCAGTTATTACAGATAAAGCTCTATCCCTGGTCCTACGGAAACAAGGAATCAAACCTGAAAGTTTAATTGGCAACAACTGATGGTCACCAGGTGCTTCTCATTTGCACCAGCCGCTTCTAACTTGTACCAGCCATCTGTGGCACATCACCAGCTGGCATTCCGGCTCCCCCGGGCAGTGAATCTACGTGACGTCCCCGAGTGAGCTGCCTTAGCATTAGCTGCCATTTAAGTCATCATCTGGTCTTCTGAAACGGAAACGTAGTTTTAAAGTCAAATGGGGCCTCCCTGGTTGCGCAGGGCTTAAGGTCAGCACTGTCAAGCTATCAGCAGCCCCTGCGGCAGGCGTCCATCCCCGGCCAGGGAGGGACCCCAGGGCGCAGCAGGCCTCTCCTGTCTCCCACCGCTCCCCTCAGCAGTGGGTTGCAGTCCATCTGCCTGTTCTGCTCTCTGCTCTGTCTCTGGGGGGGGGGGAGTCATCTCACCCCCGCATCTCTGGCCTGTACCCCAGTTCTATGCGTGAATAAAAATAACTCTTTAAAAAAGAAGCCAGATCGACTTTTGCTTCCCACCAAATACTGTATTTGGGTCTGTTAACCTTTTCTGGGTTCCTTTACAGAGGACTTTGCTTTCCTTTATACCTCCGTCTCCCTCTCCTGTGTCCCCTCGCCCCTCCCTCCCTCCCTTCTCCTCCTGTTACCTCAGAGCCCCCAGTGTCTTTAATGTCCACTAGCTTTTTAAAAGGACTTTTGTCATTTTGGCTTGTTTTACTACACATAATTCCCTTGATTTCCCTCCCACAGTAGCACTCTGTGTTTGTAAATAAAAAAGTGTAAGTATACTTGAGACTGGGGCTCACCTGTCCGTATTTGTTTTGTTTTTTTTTTTAATGTAAAAAATTTTAATATGTTAATTTTTACATCATTTTTTTTTTCATCTCAATTGTAACCCCCGTGTGTTTCCCATCACCGAGTCACCCGTGTGCCATCACCGTAGTCCCGTGCGCTTCCCCCCCCACCATGTCCTTATTTGTATTGCAAAAACCGACTTGGGCTTTGTTACTAGATTCAGTCACGCCCCCCTCTGTGGTGTACTTGCGAGCTGTCACTTGCCGTAGCTGTCAGCTGGGCGCCTGCTGACTGGGACTCCGCCACTTGGTGGCCGGGCCAGGAGTCGCCTCTGCCCCGTGTTCCCGCTGGTGGGGGGCTGCTGGCTCTCACGCTGGTGCTGGAGCTCCAGCGGTGATGAACATACCTGCTTCTCAGAGCTCACCTCCCAGTGCAATGTATCTCTGCTGACACCTCTCTCTCACACAGCAGCTGCAGATCAGGGGATCTGGCGAGTCAGCACTAAATGGCTACGGGCCAGACAGAAACCTGCTAATCTGAGCTGTTTGAGACCCGGCGTGCCTGAAGCTGGGAGAAACGCCCTCGCACAGAACCACGTGGGCGCTTCTAAGAGCTGCTGCATCCGGAGCTGTGACCAGCCTGTGAGGCGGCCCTTGGTGGCCCCAGAAACAGGGCCAGTCGCGGTTCCCTACGTGGGTCATCTCTTCCGTCTCAGAGCTCGAGGACGGACCTAGGCGCCTGCTGCGGCCAGTACCAGTGTCCCACGGTCACGGCGCCTGCGACGGGGCCGCCGAGCCACAGGGGCCAGTTCTCGCATGCACGCCGGTCTCCCACCCCCACCCCAGAGCTCCGGCCTCTGACACTCACTTCTCTCCACATCCTCTCTGCCTGCCCGCAGGGTGGTCCTGTGCCGGTCACCCTCCGCCAGCCCCAAGAGCCGCCGGGGAACGGCCAGCAGCGCCGCACCGTGTCCCGCCTCCCAGCCCACGCGCCCCCGGG